GCGTAGTAAGTACAGATCTCTCTCTACCTGACCCTCATCTTCATATCACTCGGTCAAAATCCAATGCTGTCTGTACCTGTCCCGAATCAGTTGATCATATCCTGCAAACCACCTCATGTTGTCGTCAGTCACTAATCACTACACACACACACACACAGGTGCTTGAATTCCATTAGTCAACCATCCAAATCAGTCATGATCATCAGTAATCTAAGCGAATCATGGAGATTGCTTTGTTTCGTACTTTACATCATCTACTAACACCATCTGATTCATCTCATTAACACAATTCAAAGTATCCTCATCATCACCACCGCCACATAAGACGTTGATAGAAACAGTAAAGTTCAACTCATTGATGAACACAACAGTCCAGAAATCAACTCAAAACACACTAATACAACATTGAAATCTGATCAGTATCAATCACTACTAACACTCATATTAATGTCGTTAGTGTTAATGTTGCTGTTGCTTTCTTTCCCTTTCATTGATTGATCATCAAACCACTTGAAGTGAACATCAATTGAACTTTTCTCGCCATTCATCTATCTATGCATTGAGAAAAACTGATGAAATTCAATTCAATGTGACCTTCTATTCAAAAACGAAAAACACACACACACCCCTAATGATTGATGATCAACTCAAATGAGAAGTGGACTTTTAAGTTACATTTTTTCGCTCTTTATTATGAAGTGTGGATTGTTTGTTTGTTTGATTAAGTTGTTTTGAGTTCAACTTGAAAAGCAAACTGTTTGACCTCGAAAACAACAACAACAACATGCTTGCTTGCTCGCTACATTCATCATTGAACTCCATTCAATTCAATTCAATTAATTGTTTCTGTTGAGATCAATAAACATATTTCACCAAAAGGATGATGTATATTTTTAACCTAGCTATTTGAATGTTCTGAAAACCCAGTACTACTTGTAACAGAGAAACTGAAGTATGCGCTATTGCAGAACGTCTACTTTGACTAAATATACATCAATTTATGTATAGATGATGCTGTTAGGTGGGTAGAGGTAGGAGATGGGAAACTCGTGACGCAGGTTTCATGTTAGATTTTTGTGTCTATATTAACAAGGCTTATCTCTAATCCTGATACATGTAATTCTGGTTGTTTCTACTTGAACCTGAACGATTCAGGTTTACAGTCTTACTGTTGAGGTGTGTAGCAGGTGATTGGCCCGCTGCTGTTGTACTGACTTATTCAGAAATGACTGATGACTGAATAGTGATCAATGTCATATTTGATTTTAGTATTTTGTGTGCTGATTAAATCCTGATCAATTATGGATACTCCCTGCTGACAGATGCAAACGTTAGCACCGTAACTACTTCCGCTTCTTATAATCACCTAAACTCTTAACACAATACTTATAAAGTCCAGTTAATATGACTAGTGTTCAAATTACATCTTAATAAATGAATTTTGATTAGTACTTAAAAGACTTGTCAAATATGACATTGATCTCTATTGAATAACTCGTCAATTCTTTACAGATTTTTGTGATAAGTTAATTATTGAAATCATGAATCAGTCATTGTTTCATCCCAGTATGCGACTCATCAGCAGTTGCTCATCCACAACCCATACATGTGGCAATCGAACCCAAGCATCTTCGGTTACGTGCGCGAATGTTTAACTTGTAGAGCACTACTGAACCGGCGGCATTCAAAGGTGTTATCGATGTCTTACTTCAATCAATCCATGATATTGTGCTATGTCATCATTCATTGTTTTCAATGGGTAACTCTGTCTTAAATCCGACACAACTGAACTCTACTAGTCACTGGAACTCGGAGAAATTCTCCCAGTTATTGCATATTATAAATAACATTACATTTTATACTGATCAAATGTAACATGGAGTGAAAAATTACAACAAATAACATATGGGAAAAATAATATCATACTGGAATTTATTCTCCTAAAGCTAAATATTTAAACTTCTAAATCACACACACTACCTAATGCACTACACTCAATACTATGTAAAAAACCAACTACTATTAGAATAATTCAGTAGTCCTCTAGCTGACAATAAATCGACTGAGTTTTTTCTTATTACCTCTAAGGACAAATCTGGTGAGTGTGATCGCAGATGTTAATCAAATAACGATAGATCTGAATGTTAACGAAATAAGCGCTCAGTTTGTCAATGGGTACACTTTTTTTTTCTCTCAATGAAACCAACAATTTAATTGGTTGTAAGCCATTTTCAATGTCAAATTTGATTGGTTGAATTTCATGTGAATTAGTTAGCTAGTTTTGATTGGATATGGAATGTTGATGATTTTATTGATTTGAGAATTATTTGTTTTAAAAAATCTCCCGGAAATTATTTCACTGATGTTGAGTAGTCTGTTCTGTATTTTAAGCTTCTTCAAATTAATAGTCAGTCAGTTAGTCTGAAACAACTTAGAAGTTTATTCGTACGTACAACAGTTCACGTTGCCATACCATATTTGCAGAGAGACGCAATCGTTCTTTCAAACCCCATAGTAGTAGAGGTGGTACAAGTATTAGCAGTAATCGGAAAGATTAGGGTTTGAAGATATTATTCAAAGAGTATATGTAATCCAATGAAATAAAATTGAGAAGGGAAATATGATGGTCATGAGGAATTCAGATTAGAACACAAAGATTAGATACACCTGAGCGATTGCAAACGATTTTGAGCCAGGTCATTCAAAGAAATCGATTGATAGGTACAATATTAAAGTGATGTCTCTAATACTAATCAAGTAGTTTAGTCATACTACATAACATTACAGAAAAAGGTAATGTAAATAAGATATCGATCAATGTATTAATCATGTGAAAATCGGAAATAATAGAGAGTATAAGATTTGAAATGTCATAAATGAGCAGCTTAACGAAAGCTACTGTGATTTGCTGAGAAATGCGAAAGCCATCACCAAGAAGATACAAGTGTTAATTAACAGCTGTCTACGTGAAATGATTCGGATTCGCTAACCAGATACTATCAGCAACAACCAGATTGCAGTTGAGGAAGAAATCAGGAAGAAGGGCTGGGAATGGAAAGGACACACATTGATGAAAGCACTCAAATGCATCACAAGACAAGTTATCGCTTGGAACGCTCAACGTCAAAGGAAAAGAGGAAGACTAAAAACCACATTACGCCAATAAATGGAAACAGACATGAGAAGAATGAACAACAAACAAATAGAACAGGAAGAGAAGGTCCAGGACAGAGTGTTGGGGATGTTAGATTCTCAGAACTCGCTTGATAAAAACGCCTTATTTTGGATTTAACGTTTGCGAGCATGGGCTGATCAGTTGAACTTGAGATTTCATTTCTCATCAGGAAAATCCATGGCTGTGATTTGCTGCCCTGTATTTTATTGTGCAATTTTAGTAACTGTCCCAAGGACGTTTCTATGATGTATAAATAAACGAGAGTTGTGTGCTTGATTGGTTTGTGATTGCTGGGTGTTTTGTAGAATATACTTTCTACGCTTATCAAGACTTCTCTTTTGCAGTTGTGGGATTCAAGGTAGCCTATATGGACGCTGGTAATTGTATCGTTCGCGTTTATCGACTAAAGTGAACTCGTAATAGCTTCAAGCGTACCAAGTGACAACATAACACAGAGTAGGCTGGAGAATGCTGATCGGTGGCCTATGCTCTATTGGGTGTAACAGTCGTTATTAAGTAATTTACCGATGACTGAGTTCTAACACACAATCAGTTCACCGAATCGTTGAACCAATCATTTATGAATTGTATTTATAAGACCTCATACTACATATATGGTTTTAGATCCCGATGGGATTGGGAATCACGAGTAGAAAAGTGACTAAACGTTGTGTTACTATATTCCTGAGCTGCTCCACTCATGAAAACGATACTAGAATCAGCATGCTTAAAACTAATTCACCTGTGACAGTGGCCACGTTCGAACGAGAACATATAGTAACAATAGCTTGATTACTTGAGCTCATTGTTATCACATTTGAAGTCCTCGAACAAATCGTTGCCTTTTATATGACATTTGAATCTATACATAACCGGTCACATTAATTTTAGACCTATCAATATATATTATTAGACGATGAAGTTTGAATAGAGCAAGGAGGAAAGTGTCAAGCGTTTTCCGTTAGTGTGCGGGGTGTTTGAGATAAGTAAATTTTAATCGTAGTTTGTTAAAGGTGGCTCGTAGAATTCAGCGGTGAAACTCATTGAGTCTAGCTCATGATTATTCAATAAATATAACAATAATGTTAAATGACATAATAATAATAATAATAACAATAATAATAATAATAGTAATAATAATAATAATGGTATGTTAAGTAAAATATGGAATGCTCAGCACGGAGTATTTTAACTAGTTTGCTTTTCAACACAAACTGCAAGCCACAGCGTGATGCCTCGGGATTGTACTTTTTTTTATATCTTATGAAGCGATTGGTCGTAAACTTTATCTACTCATCCGAACGGATTGTGCGAATAACAGACATAATTGACATGTTGAAAAAAACAAACAAATAGAGATAACTTGCTGAAATATTCTGATGTTGAGAAACACAGATAGCCTAGATATTCAAATAGACCGCCCAAAAACGTTTTGCATTCTATACAGAGAACAAGACAACTTCCAATTGAGGAAGAAATTAAGGAAAAAAAGGCACTAGAGTTAGGTAGTATAAACATTGTGAAAACCATCCAACTGTGTCACAAGGCAAGCCCTGACTTGGAATCCTCAAGGTCATAGGGATAAAGGCTGATCAAAGAACACACTGCACTAGGGATCGTAGGTGAACATTACTTGGAAAGAACTGGTTTGGAGAAGCATAGGACAGAGTTGGTTGAGGAATATACATTTAGATTGCCTATGCTTCACCAGAGGTGATAGATATTAGTAAAGAAAGTAAGTAGTTTGCATTGCACATACAAATCAACCATGACAAACAAATAGTACTGATATAATATCAAACAAAATATAATATCATATACTTACGTATTTCCGGTAATGAAAGATTTTCATGAGGATTGACATGTCCAGAATAATACTGTTTTAAAAAATAAATTTGTATGAGAAAAAAATCAATTTTAATCAAACTCAACAGAGATCATGGTAAAAAAAAATCATGAAAAACATCAATTGCGGAGAAAAAACAAATTACATGCACTAAAGTACAACAACACAGAACTATTGTGGTGAACGAGAACACAGGTGAGGGCAACCGAATTGTATTTGACGAAAATTACAGAGCTACTCAGTAAAATCGGAAAACCATATTGTAAATCGTTAATTTGCAAAATATCAGTTCATCCTATCGAACTGGACTGTTGTTCCTGTTGTAAAACATCAATCCATTGTCACTATTCATGCGTTTCATACTAATTTCATTGTGTTCTAACTCTTCTTCCTTTCTTGATCCTCGCCCATCTTCTGCTGTCAGACATTATGTTAACACTCACGTCATATACTACTTATAAGTAGCTCACACCACACTCGTCCCCCCTTTTAATAAGCTGTCGTCGTAGTCTTTCAAAACAAGGCCCCTGGTCAGGTAATATCACCTTCCTTATTCCGTGACGCGCTACAATATGCCGGATACCACTTCGGTCATTGTTCTTGCCCGCTGGTCTGGAATGGATACGGCATCTATCCAACGTGTAGAGCTTACTAGTTCCTGGTGCTGGGACACGGCGGCAGGCATACTCTCGATAAACTGCGACGCCAACAACTGTTCCCCCCGACTCCCCATCCATACTCGGCAGCGTACGGCGCAGCAACATCGTGAGCTCCACAGCCAGCACCAACAGGTCACCATCAGCCGACAGCCTCGCCAACCGGAACCTCTGCGGCGCCTCCTCCCTGTCCACCGGGCTGTCGAACTCCGTCATCAGCTACTCAATGACCGTCTCCTACGGCGTCTTCCCGGCGGCACCGTCCAGACTGTCGTACATCGCCACCGCCTCACCTCCCCGCAGCGTCCCCAGCACCGCCAACTCCGCCCCGGGCCTCTTCACACCCACCAGCTCCACTGCGGCCTCAAACTCCTCCAGGAAGCTCCGCAAATCTCCGTCCTCCAACTCCATCGGACACGGGAGCTCCTTCCTTCGAGCAGGCAGCGACACCAAATGTAGTGAACGAGAGCACAGGTGGGACAACCGAATTGTATTTAACGAAAATTACAGAGTTACTCAGTAAAATCGGAAAACCATATAGTAAATCGTTAGTTAATTTGCAAAATATCAATTCATCATATCGAACTGGATTGTTCCTGTTGCAAAACATCAATCCATTGTCACTCACTATTCATGCGTTTCATACAAATTCCATTGTTTTCTAACTCTTCCTTTCTTGATCTTCCCCCCTATCTTATGCTTCCAGACATTACGTTGACACCCACGTCATATACTACTTATAAGTAGCTCACACCACATTATTACTTCAAGACAACAAAAAAATGTACTTGTGTTATTCGACAATAAAAAAGTGCAAGTTACAAGGCAAAAAAAAACGTACAGACAACGATGACAACCACGACAAGGACGACAATATGAAACACTGATGTGGAACAATAAGTAGTGCTTTGTACAACACTAATCATGCTTATACTCTACTAAATTTTTACCCTTTCTCTAATTGGCCATCTACGATATTCCATTCCTAATGATGTTGGTGGTTGTAATAGACGATGATGATGTCTAGTAGTTCTATGAATCGGTACATTCAAGCTATTATAATCAATTTCTGTACTTCTTCTAGATGAATGAGGATGAGGATGATGATCATAACAACTGGATCCAATAAATTTATTGTGTATACGTTTAGGACTTGTACTACGACTACGTGTTGATGCAATTAAACATTGCTCGTTGTTCAATACATTCAAAAATGAATTCTTATTACAATGATCTATGGTTGTTTGATTTGGATAATTTCGATTCGTCAATGTACTACTATTGTCAGGATATCTATCTTCATTCGAGGATGAAGACATTGGATGTGGTTCATGCTTTGAATAATTATAACAGCAACGATTCATTGGATATTGATTAGCTAATCGTTTGGCGCCATATTTAAATTTCTCCGGTGATATTCTACCACTATATGTATAACTTTTGAAAGACTGTGGATAGTAGCGTAAAGGATATAATATTTTATTAGTATGTAAATAATGCAAAGGTTTACGTCGAATTCCTCCTCCTTCATGTCGTGTATTGAATAATCGTTCCATTATTGTAGGCGATTCATGATATTCATGTGGATAATCTTTATGCATGTTAGTTCTTATCGTACCACGTGGTTTCCATTGTCGATTTGGATAATCGGCTGTTAAATTATACGAGGATGATGTACGAAACCATTGGTTATGATGATGATTCGTTGGCAGTTTAGATGATTCACTTGATAGTGAACTATCATTATTATTATGATTATTATTCAATGATGCTTCATCACTATGATACAGATCTTTGACAAGATCATCTCTTAGCTGTAACTCGTAATCATCCGACATAGATCTTGTCTGACGCCATTTATATTTGGAATGTTTAAAATGTCGAGGAGATTGATTTTTTTGATACTGATGAGGTTGGTGCTCATGATGCTGACGATGATTAGGGCGCAGTTGATAATAATGAGAAGAAGGATGTGATGAAGAAAGAGGACTAGTTGCGGATTTCTGTACATAGGATGTATTATTGTATAATGATGAATGTTTCAATTTGATTGGTTGATTCGAGTTAGTGAATTTTGTTTTCAAATTATGATCCGATAATGAATATGTCTCATTATCATTATTATTATTATTATTGTTTAATTCGTTTAATTCTTGTGATTTTTCTAATTTACGACGAAGTAATAATGCCTAGATTTAATTTTATTATTATTATTATTATTTTTATCAAAAAAAAGAAACAACAACAACATGATTCAACAGTAATTAGATAAACAAGAATTTGTCATTGATCAATTGAAATGTTTCACTCAGTATTGAACATTGAACAAGTTTTTTGTGTGTGTTTAAGTTCATAAATTGAATAAAAATGAACGAATAATTGGACGGCCGTTTCGTCCTGGGATGGGACTACTCACCACTGGCAGTGCACATCCACGACTCCTGCGCCTCGCTGTCACTCGAACCCAGGATCTTCGGCTGTTGTGCGCGAATGCCTAACCATCAGACCACTGAACCGGCATCCAGTGGTGTTCATGTCTAACTCGGATTGATCTAGGGATTTTGCGCGACCTCAACCATTTGTGTTTGGTAGTTACTGCCTACATCCGACAGGGTTGAACTCTATTGGTCACGTCTTCTCACTAGAACTCTGAGAATTGCCTCACGAAGCTAGTCACTAGTGAGCACTGTTACGATATTTCTCAGTTAGAGTTTTGGAGGTTTTTGTTTTTACACATTTTAAATCTTAAATCAATCCGCAGATCAATCAGAGTTAGACATTAACACCGTTGGATGCCGGCCCAGTGGTCCGATGGTTAGGCATTCGCGCACAATACAGAAGGTCCCGGGTTCGAATCCTGTGACCATCTGGACTCATGGATGCACACTGCTGATGAGTCCCATACCAGGACGAAACGGCCGTCTTTCAGTGCTTCCAGGTTTCTAATGGTGGTCTAACAATGATTGATTGACGATTTCAAATGTGTAAAAACACAAACCTCCAAAACTCTGCCCGAAAAGATCTAATAATTATTTGAAAAAAGTTGTTTTAGGTATGATTTGAAATAAAATTGTAAACTTGGAAATTTATTGTATTATTGAAAAATATGATTTCTTAAACGATAATTACTAAAATAGATAAATATTTATATCATAATTTATAGTGTGTCAATTGTTAAGATGTTCATCAAATATCCTATAAAGAATTATTTTTTAAGTGTGAATTCTATTGGTCGATTCCTATTGGTCAATATTATGGTCGTCCTGACTATCAATGTCACGTACTTCAATGTTGTCTCCTATTGGTCGTACTATCTGTCAATGTCACTTCAGATGATATTTCCTATTGGATGTCTTAACTATCAATGTCACAAACTTCAATGTTGTTCCTATTCGACCTAACTATATAAATACGCATTATCTGTAACGTTTAATAGCCTGGACACGAATCCATAGTTCACGATCCTGATTCTCTTCTGGATTCGGACCTCGTACTTTTTGGATGCTTGTAGAATACATGTTCTACTACATATCAAGTCTTCTTCTTTTATTCAATCGAGGTTGGGACTATCGGATCCTAGACCCTCGCTCTGATTTTCCGCCTAAGGTAAACTCGTAATAGTTCATACATATCAAATTGACCTGTTTACGTGCTTACTTAACAATAATACAACATGATTTCGAAAAATAAGTAAGATATTTTTTTCAGATATTTAAAAGAATTTACAATAGTAATGTATGGAATTTCTTTGTTAATTAAATCCTAAATTTACAAGGAAAATTCAGTGATAAAATTTTAATAGAAGCTTTAAATTCGACATAAGGCTCACCACTTTAGAAGTCCGCGATGTGACTCCATTTTGGACGAACAGTCGAATATACTATGAAATAATTTCTGCATATTATTTCTAGGTAAAACCCGTATGTGAGCTGAATATGGATTCATTTGGATGAGTTTATTTCATACAAATTGTTCACGCAGACAGATATGAGAATGAAGAGTGTATAAGCAAAGCTAAGCGACGTGAAGAGGGCGAATATTCCAACTCAATGCAATCAGGTATGACGACATATTTACAATCAGGCAAAATGTTATGCTCGTCACTTGCTATGCTTGGAACTATTAACGGGTGTTCACTTTGGTCGATAAATGAGAACGAGACAATGAACCGTGTGCGAGTAGGCTACTTTGATCCGTTGACCCACAGGAACTGGCGTAAAATCTTGATATAGTGTAGAAAGTGTATTCTACAAACACCTAGCAAGCACAATACAATCAAGCGTACAACTCTCGTTTATTTATACATCATATAGACGTCCTTGGGACAGTCACAAAAATAGCACACTAAAATAACACAGTAACCAATCACAGACCAGGATTTTGCTGGTGGGAAATGTGACCTCAAAGCCAACTGGTGAGCCCATGCACGCAAACCTGAACTCAGCAATCAAGAAATGTATCCAGCGAGCCCTGATGAGCTGACATCCCCAACACAAACCAATCCGAACGAGAGCTTAAAAACGTAAGCCTGTCCACACACAGAGGCAAATAAAAACTATCAAGGTAATGAGTGAATAATTGACAAGATTGAAAAACATGTGAATAACTTGAAAAGAATGTAGGAATTAATTGCTGTCCAAAGGCTGGGACAAACCTTTATGGACTCAACATATTTTTACACACACACACACACACACACCATAAACTATTTATTTAATCACTTTCAAAGAGCAGAAGAACAACATTAAAAGAGTTGCTTATGAATGAACATGTGTGTATATTTAAATCCTTATCGGATGCTGTCTCAGTCAAAGGTGGAGTAATTCAAGGTTGTGTCACAAATCCGTTGCTATTTTTAGTTGATATTTTGGTGATGTTCGATCCATGGAATTCGCTTCATAAATATCCTTATTTTACATTTATTTCATGGACCGATCAGTAGACCATAAGATCACATTTCCCACTAGGAAAATCCATGGCTGTGATTGGTTACTGTGTCATTTTAGTGTGCTATTTTTGCGACTGTCCGAAGGACGTTTCTATGATGTATAAATAAACGCAATTAAAGTGCTTGGAACGATTGTGTGCTGGCTGAGTGTTTGTAGAATAGACTTTCAACGTTATATCAACGGCTTGTCTTGCGCTTGGGTACAAGTGGGACCAAGGTGACTCACAGGTAGCACGACCTGGACGACGTCGCCGGTTCAGATTGTCTCGTCCTCGTTATTTAGACTCAAGGATGAACTCGTAATGTAGTTTAAGGCGCACTGTCCCTACGGAGGCCCCCCCAGCAGTAACTATGGTATAAATGACAATGTTGTAATGATGCTTCTATGCGATGAGAGTATAGGCCTCTTCTATGTCACCAACATATGATCGTGGATAATAGTAAACCTGGCACTCAGGTCAATCAGCACATCAAAACAAACACATAGAACCGCACTGTGACTGCCCAGTTTATCACAACAATCAGAAAAATGATGTAGACAAACGCCCAGTATTCAAGAAAAACGGAGCTCAAAGGTGAGCACAATCAAAATAAATGTGCAACAACCAACGACAGGTTTAAGGTCAAATAGCAAACCACAATCAATGGTCGAGGTTTAACCAAGAAAAACGCTATCACGAGCGCCCAAACGTAGAGAAGGTCTGACGAATATCTTCAACTTCCATTCTGAAAGTTTGTGCCTTCGATGACTGTTGTTGCAGAGGAGCTAATCAAAAGCTCCTGTATTGTACCAAAACATCTAGCCCCAGAGGATGAAACCTCCACCACCTCACCATACCAACTGGAGCTACAAATTTTCTCCACCATCTCCAAAATCGAATTCTACATATATCTACATAAATGAGTTTTGACGTTTTCACTTTAGAGTTGTGAAGACTGTTGAGTTTTAATTGGAATCATAATATCGCAATTTATTCGGTTTCATGTCCTTCTGAACTAACCAACATTCAGAAACCCAGAAAGCACGCGAACGGACATTTCCATGCCTAATATCGCGACTTCAGTAGGTGCCCACTAGTGGCTAGGTTTGTGCTTGCTGAATTCTTAGCGGTTCCAGTGAAGATACGTCCACCGTGCACTTGGGACAGCTGTCAGCCCTTCCGGGTGTACGTCATGTAAATTACCGAAGGAACACATCGGAGTCGAGGTTCGACGCTCTAGTCATCCCTGGGATCGACTAAAGAAGTTGCAGACGTATAACACTCGCTTGGAGTGGCCACGGCGCTCAACTGGTCCAAAGAGGATAAAGCGTTCGCGACCACGGACACCGGAAGGTTCCTGCGGTACCCATGAGCAGCGCGTTTCCAAGTTTCTAATGTGCTGGCTACTAACAACTACTGCACGGTATCATGAGGTGCCCTCCAACCTAAAGCTTGTATCTTTGTTAGTTCTCATATAACAACTAATATACTGTTCTATATTTTGTGTCTTTCTTTGGGGCCCCCGCATGTTTTTCGTTTTGTTTTTGACTTGTTTCAACAAACTTCATGGTCGAATCCATGAACAAATCAAACCCATTTTCTTTTAAAGAAGTGATATATCCCGTTAGAACACGTACACAGTGTATTAGTCGTTATACATGCATTTGTACTGAAAAATTCGAACTCTATTGACTACAATATCGCCCTAGGCAAAACGGATACTAAGATAATAGTGATATCATCTTTTATCAGCAAAAACGAATAATTTTGCTAGTCAAGACAGTTACACTCTTTCTCAGGTGTGGACTTTCAAACAGCGAGGACACGCCGTTGCGGTGATACAGAGTCCTTAGCTGATGACATCGAGTCATCGTTATTCGGTGTGAGTGCCCCCCCCGATGACCCAAAATGCCAAGTCTTCTGACTACCCCAAGCCAAAGATTCGAGATTGCGATTTTCCTCCTCACGAAATCGTTTGCAATGAGGCAGGTGGGGGCATTCCACTCGTTCGTGGTTCACTCACGTTCCAAACTCGCTAATCGTGCACAATTCCCTGCATCATTTTCTATCGTTCTTTTTCTAAATTTATCTT